TGATAAAATATATGGATAACTTTATTTGTTTTTCCTTTTCTTGTGACACTTAGCAGGAATTGAGCTCCCAAACCTTAAACATTCTCTATATCCATCTTCCCTTGCTCTGATGGAACTTAAGTTAGCGTTAAGTTGTTAATATATACTCCTCCTTTATAAGATAGAGAAAGAAAGAAAAAATTTTGTCCCATTTGTAGAGTATATAGAAAAATTTTAATACACAATTTTACTTGTTATTTATTATTATATTGATTTTATTTCAATGGGTATAATGTACGTTAAATAAAGATAAAATTAAGGGAAAATTAATCTTTTGGTCCCTGTAATTTTTACTCATTTGTAACTCAGTCTCTATACTTTGATTTGATGTAACTCAGTCCCTCTAGTTTTGACTCGGTTGTAACTCAGTCCTTAAAGTTTGACTCAATGTACCTCGATCCCTATAGTTTTGTCTATTTTATAATTTAGTCCTTGTGTTTTTTAAAAGTAAAATTATATATCTAATAAAAGGAGGGACTAAATTATAAAATAGACAAAACTATAGAGACTGAGTTACAGCGAGTCAAACTTCAAGGACTGAGTTACAGCGAGTCAAACTTCAAGGATTGAGTTACAACCGAGTCAAAACTAGAGGGACTGAGTTACACCAAGTCAAAGTATAGGGATTGAGTTACAAATGAGTGAAAACGATAGGGACCAAAAGATTAATTTTCCCTAAAATTAAAAAATTATTAAATTTTAAATGAAAGTCAATAAAATTTAAAATTTTTCTTAGTCTATATGGAACATATTAGAAGTAACTTATAAATAAAAATAAAAAAATAGTGTTTAAGACAGATATGATCCCATTTATAAGATATATTAATTTTTTTTATTTTTATCCTCATTACTCCATTAATTATCTCATATCTTTCCTTCTACTAATTCCTTATCTTTCATTCACTCCATTTCTATAAATAAGGTTTTTTTAAAAAAAAATAAAATACATTTTTTATACATTTGTTCTCTTTAATTAATTTTAACCAATTTTTTCATCCACATAATCCAATTATTTGTATTATATATATAGGATCATAGGGTATATACTATCTCCAACATTTAATATAAAACTTAGTTGATTAGTTTGGGGAGATTAAGAAAATTAGTTAAATCAGTTGTTTGTAATAAATAAGTATTATATTTCTTAGAATACCCTTGCTAATTATGTATATTAGTTAAAATTACTATTTAACGAACTTTAAACATGCACAATTACTACAAGAAGTACTTTGAAAAAAATGGATGAATATCAAAGATAAAATAGATTGGAATCTTATATCATTTAAACAAGGGTTAAGGTGCGTCCAGCACCCTAAACTATTTTTCCAAGTACGTCCAATGTCCTAAAGTAATTTTCGGTGTATCCAGCATCCCAAACTAATTAAAACGGTGCATCCATATCTTAGGCTAACAGAAAAGTTAAGTTTGACTGTTACCTTGCTGACTCAGCCGAACGTTGACCGAAAAATCCTACATGACAGACACGTAGGTGTCTGATGTGTATTATTTTGACGAGTTAATGTGCACCCAGCACCCCGAACTATTTTTCCAAGTGCGCCCAGTGTCCTAAAATAATTTTTGATACATCCAATGTCCCAACCTAATTAAAACGGTGCGTCTATATCCCGAGCTAACAGAAAAGTCTTATTTGACTGTTATCTTGCTGATTGAGCTGAAGACTGACCGAAAAATCCTACATGGCGGACACGCAAACATATGATGTGTATTATTTTGACTAAAGCTCCCGAGACGAGTCCAGCGATGGCGGGTGTTTTCTCAGAAGGCGACGGCGATATCGACGAAGTAACCAAGGAGAGGTTTACTGCGTTCTCCGAAGAGGAAAGCAAATGCGAGTAGGATGAGGAGTTGACAAAAACGGAGATGGAAGTGCATTGTGACGACAGTTGTGGTTTCAAATCGAAGTGGTGGAAGAAATGGGATAAAATTTTAAAGACGAGGATGGGATTGAAGAGGTGGTATATGTACCAAGATTTAAGAGGGTGGATCGATGGTCTTTCTTTTTTTTAAGTTTAAAAACTGACAGAAAATAAATATTAGAAGAGGAGGAAATAAATTGAATTTTCAGTCAAACTAATACACATCAGACGCCTCCGTGTCCGCCATGTAAGATTTTTCGGTCAACCTTCAACTGAGTCAGTAAAGTAATGGTCAAACAAGACTTTTCTGTTAGTCTGGAATGTGGACGCACTGTTTTAATTAGTTTAGGACACTTGATACACTAAAAATTACTTTAGGACACTGGGCACACCTGAAAAAATAGTTCGGAGTGCTAGGCACACCTTAACCCATTAAAATAATACACATCAGACGCTTATGTGTCCGTCACGTAGGATTTTTCAGTCAACTTTTGGCCGAGTCAACAAGGTAACGGTCAAACTTAACTTTTCTGTTAGCCCGAGATATAGATGCACCGTTTTAATTAGTTTGGGACATTGAATGCACCGAAAATTACATTAGGACACTGGGTGCGCCTGAGAAAATAGTTTGGGGTGCTAGGCGCACCTTAACCCTTTAAACAATGAAAAACAATTAACATAAACATACTGAAATGCAAAAATAAAACAATTCAATGCACCATTCTTTGGGGGAGGGGGTAAAATCTCACTATATTGAAATGGGCTCTTGAATGGGCTGAAAGGAATAATTGGACTGAATAAACATTAATTTCACCTAAACTTTTTTTACCAAAAAAAAAAACCTCGACAAAATAATAAATAATAACTATAGATGACTTCTTATTTCAAAAGAAAGCATATATATCAAAAATAAGATGATCATTTTACAAAAAATTGAAAAGGACTGTATTTATGCAAAACAGTAATTCATAACAAAGTAGATTTTTTTTAGAGAAAATGTGCTTTACAGTGCAGGTAATTGCAGTTACATGTCACCATGCAGGCAATAAAAAGTATTATGGGTCCGTTTGGATTAATGATAGAAAAAGTAATTTATTTTCAATCTGACTTTTAGAAAAGTGATATTAGATAAAAGTTAGATTATGTAATATAAAATTAGAAATAATAGTAATGTGAAAATTTTTGAACCAAATAATATTATATAATTAATTGGATGATATATTCTACATGATTTATGTAAATATAAAATGAAAAATAATATTAAAATTAAAAATATTATAAAAATTGTTAAACATTATTTTCACTTAAGAGAATATTAATAATAAATAACTAAGAACTGATTGATAAGCACAAGAACAATTTAAACATAAGGGCAAAAATGTCTTTTAATTCTAAAAAACTGCTTTTGAAAAATCATATATAAGTTTTAGATGTTTTTACAACTGTGTTTAAAAAAGCAACTTTTAACCAATAAATCAGAAGTGTGACACACTACTCCCGAAGTTACAAAATGACATATCACATCTATAAACTACTTTTTCCTCCCTCAAACAACACCTTACCAAACGGGCACTATATTCTTCTAAGGTGAACTTTGTTATTGCAAGTAAAATATATCCAGATTAAATTATCCATTCTTTATATTCATTCTTTGCATTTGGCCCCCTTTGTGTTATCCGTGCCACTCACACCCACCAAAACCAACATTTTTTACCCGCCATTTAAAATGGCTTATAAATTGTTTTTGTTAGTCGCGATTTAAGAAATATAAGATAAATATGTAAAAAAAAAAATTTACTTCAGTTTATATAAAATATACTTATAAGTAATTCTAGTTGTGATCTCAAGTAGAGCCTTAATCTTAAAGATACATTTTTAATATGTTATATTTTATTATTAATATTTCTTTCTTAGAAATGCATTTTTAATATATTATATTTTATTATTAATATTTCTTTCGTTGTCCAATAAAATAAAATGTCTGGTATTTACATTTTTCAACTCAATAGCCGACAATATTTTGGTGGACTCAACAAGAGATAAGACTGGAGAACTTGTAATTGTAGTTTGTCTTACATGCTTGTTCATAGTCAAAATGATTAGACCTTATTATTAGAAGATTGCTGAATTGAACACAATATTCCTTCGCCTTTCCATTAATTTTTGAAATTTTGTTGGTCTTTAGTACGCATAAGGATTATGTGTCATTCCCGTGCTTAATTATTGTAATCACATTCTCTAACAATAGGATTGCGGTAAGGTCTCCAAAAAAAATATAAAATAAATGTTAAAAATTGTTATTCTCTACTTTAAAATTTATTATTAAGAATTGTTTACGTTATTATTAAAATCTTTTAGTAATTTTTTTGATTTAATTGTAATTCCTTTTTTTTAATCAAGGTTTTCATTTTGATTTAAAAAATGCTATGCCACCACTCACATAATTACTTTTCTAAAGGAAAATCTATCTACAAAAGCCCAGACAAGTTGTGTCCGAAACTACTCCTCAGCGGAGCTCTCATGTGCCCATTTTTATCCTGAGCACAGGGGCTTTTTTATCCCCAAAAATATATGGAGAAAGGAAAAAAAACTAACATCAACATTAATAATTAATATAAAATACTTACTAAATACTATTAACTAATATATAAATACTAAAAAAATTAATTAAGTTAATTATTTATAATAAATAGATGTTGTAATTTTTAAAATATCTTTATTAATTATGAGTATTGACTATAATTAACATTTGATGAAAATTTTAACTTATATAATTATTATAAAAACTAATTTTAAAAAATAATAAATATGAAAGGTAAAATAAATTAAAATATCATATTTAAAATTAAATTAAAAATCACATTAGTTTTTATAATATTAAAATAAATAGTGTGAGAAGTAAATCGTATCTGCCGAGGCCTGAGTATGCAATGTTTGCATTAATATAGCGACACGTGTCAGTATCCAGCACCGAACTTGTGTGTGGGAAAAGATTTCACAGTGTCAGACACATCACCACACCAATCAAAGCTGATCAAATAATGATGGGGTGCCAAAGCAGCAGGTCCTCTCCTACTCTATGGGTCTGTTCCCACTGTAATTTCATTATCGCCACTGTCTTCTCAAGCTCAAGCTTCAACCCACTTCCTCCTTCCTCCGATCCCCTTGCCAGTGAAGTGAGAGGTTAAAACTCATGGACTTCGATTTCAGGGCCTCTGCAATCTACGCTGCCCAACATCTCTCTGCCGTCCAAGCTGCTTGCCTTCACTCTGGTACCTTTTTTCCCCAAAAAAAAAAAAATCACTTCTCATGCGTATGAGCTGTTTCGAAAGATACCCTCTTAATTAGATTAGATATTTAGCTTGCTTTAAGCACTTCTGCTTTGTTTTCCAGTTCCCCGCCCCCCACCTTTCAGTTTGAGCGTTCTTTTGGCATTCTTTCTTCCTTTGCCTTTTGATGTCTCTGTTAGCATGCGCAAATCTAACTGACTTTTCAACTTGTATTTTGAAATGGGTTCTCAATAATTTGTTTTGATGGGTTAAAAAATGAGGGCAAGCATTAACTTTGCACCCAAATGATTAGTTTTAGTTGTGTGAGAATTTTTTTTCCAAGTGAAAATTACCCATCCGGGCTTCCTTGGGTACAAATGAATTGGTTTAAGTGTGTCGCGCAAGAAACCTTAGTCGGTGTGATAAACTTTATTATAGGTCTAATCCATCAATTTTCTTGTGTCTGCCTTATAGTCAATCAGCAGTTTAAGTAATACTTAGTGTTCTGAACTTCTGTTAATCTTGATTTGAATAGACTAAATACCGAGCAATACACTGATATTTAGTGTTCCGAAGGCACTAAGCACCAGTGAGTATGTTGGGTGTTGGTGTGTTGCTTATAGTTATACCTATTCCTTTTAATTTTTGAGATGCTTTTCGTCATTGCATTTGGATTAAGCGGTTGTTTTGCTCGTTATAAATTGCATATTAACACTGAGATATGCCAAACCACAGATAATTATATGGCATTTTATGACTCGGATGGAGAGGATGATGCCCGATCATATTTTCCTTGCCCTTTCTGTTGTTTGGAAATTGAAGTTCCAGTTCTCTGTAGCCATTTGCAAGAGGAGCATTGCTTTGACCTAAAAAGTGCTGTACGTGGTCTCTTTTCTTTAGACTGTATCTCAAAGTTTGATTCCCCCCCCCCCCCAAGAAGTTGGCTGTTAAAACATTTAATGATTTTACGTATAACAGTTCCATGCTTAAATGCAACTTTTATCAATAACAGAAACTGTTTACCTGGTTGCTATCAGCAATGTCGTGATTTGGTTAAGAAGATAATAACGAAGCAATCCAGCAGTTATAGTATGTTAAGGAAAAACAGCATGGGACATTTATAAATGTGGCTTACAGATAATTAATTTTAATTTTATGATTGACAATATAATTGACTACTATAAGATTTTCCCATGCCAGGTTTGTCCTCTGTGTGCAGCAAATTTAGGGAAGGATGCGATCAGACATTTCATGGTAGAACATTCAAGCTCTCTGAAGGTATCTGTTGTCTGATTAATTAAATGCCTTGTTGTGAATGTAAGCTAGCTTATTTTAGGATTTCGGAGCATATGTTTTCCTTGCCTGATCCAGTGGAATATAATGACATCTTGTTATAGAGAAGGTGGAAATCTGAGAAATCCAGCATCTGGTCTGGTAATTCAGCTATGCTTCAAAAGAAACTGGCTGCAAATACCAGGGGAAACAAACATGAATCAACACCTGATCCACTTTTGTCACCATTTATCTGCAACGTAGCTGTTCCAATCCCTAACAGCATCCATCAAGACAAGTGTTCCAACAACAGTGCCTTGGTCATTTCTGCTGTAAAAAGGTTTGTTTCCTTTTTAATATAGACTTTGTAATTAAAGTACTTTAGTATGTTGAGGGAAAACACAAGCAACTTCAATTTATAGTCCACCACATGCACACACACAAATGTGCACTTACACAAAGCATGTGCTTATAAGAGTTTTAGCATTTGCTGCCTTTGCTTAAGTGCTGTTGTAGGAAATATTAGCAAGCTCTGAATATTTATCTACCTGGAGGCAAGGTTTTCTTCCTGAGTAAATCACAATATGTTGTATCCCAAGTTGTTATTAGAATACAAAGTATATGAACTACAATTGCCTAGGCTGAAAAGTTACAGTTGGGGAAGGCTGAGAAGTTACGGATAGTGCATGTGAGCAGCCCAGTTTCATGGCCTGTATTCATTGTAAAGCTGAGATGCAGATTGTTTTTCTCTGACATCTGCCTCTACTTAATATTCACCAATTATACTAGAAATTACATATATATTAGCACAATAAGTTTAGCTAGAGGTTAGGTGTCATTTGGTTAGTAGTCTTGTGATATTTTGTTGCTTTTCTTTTGTGTCTCGTATTTTCCTTTGTGCTGTGATGTCCTTTAAAGCCACAGCTAGGCAGGTGCAGTTGTGGTGGAACATATTTGCTTCATTATAGTTTCTGGGAAATATTTATATCAAGTTTCTTATATCCAACATGTCAAACTCTCCAATTACACATGGCCATGTGTCATTGAAAATATTTTTTTTTTTGAGTTTATAGTTTAATGATGATATTTTGAAAATAGGATTCATGGCCATGTGTCCTTGGAGAATTTGACATAATGAATATAAGGAATTTGATTTAAGTATGGTCCTTATTATATTTAGTAAACATGTGCTCATGTAGCATAGCTTAGGCTTGCAATTGCACAAGTGTTTATGAATTTGTGAGTTTGATGTGATTGGCCTTTTTAATTTTTGCATTTACTCATCTTGTCCAAAAAGGTTTTCAAATACAATTTACTTAAAAATGGATGAACCACCCTCATTTTGCAGTTTCATCGTTTTTTGTAGTTTTCTCTGACAACTTGTTCTGGATGTTAAAATTTGCATTTACCCAGTAATTTGGCATATGATGGAGGCGTTTTAGGAGAAAGAGTTAATTGTAGGTCAAATGTTTATGTCGTTAATCCTGGTTTTGAACTGGAGAATAGTGACAACAGTTATGGAAAGCCTCACTTTCCAGGCTTGAGTAACGATCAGCATGTCACTGGGTTAACAAACTGTGATCCTGTCCAGCCTGCCGAAGAGTACTCCTACTAACTGGGATTCAATCCTTCTGGTTGTTTATGCTACAAAATGTTATGCATATTGCTGAATTCTATTAAAACTGTTTTGAAGTTCAGTTTTCAATTCGTCTTTAATTGCTTGTATGCATTGCAAATTGGTGATATAGATGGTCTTTCTCTGTCATCTGCCTCTAAATTTATATTCACCAGTTATACCAGCAATTTTATTTGTAGTTTAATGAAATAAAGATTAGCTGGAGGTTTGGCGTTATTTGGTCAGTAATTTTAGGATATTTTGTTGGTTTTTGAATATTAAGACTTTCTTTGCGTCTTGTATTATCCTTTGTGCTATGAAATTTGTGAGTTTGATTTGGTTAGCTTTCTTTATTTGGTTGACTTCTAAAACTGTTCTGAAGCTCAGTTATCAAGTCATCTTTATATATCATGTATTATGTAGAATTAAACTTCCGACACTATCCGGTTGAAAGATGGATAGGGGGAATTACTGTAGTTGGTCAAGATAACAGTTAGAGCTATAATAATTCAGCTGAGCCTTAGCATGCGTAAGATTTTTAATCTAAAACTAACCTAACATTCATGAACAACTCTGTCCATTTACACCTTTAATCATGGTCGTGAGATGTTTTATGTTCAGATTTTAAGAAGTCGATCCCAATGCTAAAATGTTGATGTTTTGTGTCTGCAGTGATGGGAGAGAAGCAGGAGGTGTGGGTGATGGGGGAGATCATGAAGAGAGAAGGCAGAGGGCAGCATTTGTCCAAGAGTTGGTAGCATCAACCATATTCTAAGGAACACTGGAAGTGAGAGCTCAGATCCGCACGCAGACATGTCTAAGGATGGCCTTGACCCATCCTCATACAACAGGTGGGAGGTTCTTGTGTTGGGGCATGAGTTAGTGAAGGATCTCAGCTACCAGTCCAACTATTTTTATCATGATGATCCCAAAAGTGAAGGGGGTGCCTCCCTTCCATGTGTATTTGATATATTATGTATCAAGTCGCTCGCATTTAAATTAGCTTGTACTTGATATATCTACAACTGTCTTAAAGTAATAACACATCATATTTTAGTCAACCCACAATTCGACCCTAATTTAGTAATTTAAGTTGAAGCTTAATCGATGCCTAAGGGTAGGCAAAAATGAGCTGCACACTGCTTATTGTTTCCATAAAATTGTTTTGATTTAGAGAATCAAATGAAAAATGAAATTGTAAAATCACCTGTTTTGATATGGGTATAACATGCTGGACTTGGAGATAATCCACAATAAAAGAGAGTTTTTTTTTGGGGGGGGGGGGTGGGGACACAAGGCAAATAGATTACTAAACCCTACAAGAAAGGAAAAAGAAGTCCAGCACGCAAGATAGGGGACGAAAAGAAAAGGGAAAAGGTTGTGTACTTGCATTGATGAATAGGCGCATGGGAAGTGTTCTGCATTTTCCCTCATAAATCGTTACAGACAGAAGTGAATCTAAATCAAGCGTCAAGGAGTGGCCCATTCTGGGGTGGATAGAACTTCTCTTCACATGCTTCTGGCCATTATTATGGTTTTTGCTTTTTAATGATAGATTAATATGATCCTGATTCAATTTAACCTTTTGAATTGACTTACAAATTTAACTTAAATGCCAATTATGGATGAAAATCAATAAAGAGCAATACCAAAAGCAAATTTGGAGAATCTATGAAAAAATTATGTTATGATGATTAAAATCCATATATCAAATATATTAGGAGATTAAATATATCAATATATGTTAAGTAAAGCCTATAATAAATCACATTTGTTCATGAACTATAACCATTAAACAATAATATTTCTTAATAATTCATGTGCAAATTTGGCCCAAAAAAAAAAATTCATGTGCAAAAAGAACTCAATTAGTCACTTCAATTGCTCAACATTTTGGTAGAGGACCTTCATGGGAGCAAAACAATCGTAAATGATTTTATGTACATCTACACTTCCTATAATTTAATGACTTGAATCAAATCCTAGGGTGAGATTTTGATCATATAAAGAAATGAAGAAATTACATTTTTAGGCAAATTCTCATCTCTACCTAGTGCTACTCGGGTTAACATAATTGTATCGGAATCTTTAAAGTTCAAACTGAATACAATGCACCAGATATACCCTCAATTAAATATTTCTAAGTTTTAATACTATCATATCATTTTCTAAGATCATATCGAAACACTCATGCAACCACAATTAGCATAGGAGATATCTTTTCAAGAAGCACGGATGATGGATCCAATAAATATTGATGTTAAATAGCCGTTCATGTCGAGAAAAATGCAAAAATATATTAACTGTAACTTTTTACACAAGGAAAGGGTCAAAAAGCAATGTTAGCCCCAAAAACAAACATCAAAATAAGGGGGGAAAACATCAACTCTAACTATGCATTTTCATTGTTAGGTGCCTCCAATTTGCATATATTTAAGACCTTATGTCGAATTTATAAAGGAAGTTACTCCTAAGATACCTAATTCATGCTCACTTTTTAGCTCATTTAACTCCTTCCACTGTTTTATTGTTTGTTTCTTTTAAAGTACAGACTTTGTAGTTGAGGTACATCAATATTTGTAGTTGAGGTACATCAATATATTGAAAGCAAACACGAGAAGCTTCAATTATAGCCCACCACACCCGCAAACACAAATATGCACTCATACACATGTCATGCGCTCATAAATGAAGTGTTTATTTGAGCCTTTGTTGATTCTTGTTGTGGGAAATATATAGTTCTAATGATTAATATACATGCAGGGAAACTCTTTTTTTTTTTTTCTTTCCAAGGCAAAATCATAATTTTTATGTCCCAGGTTTGTTACAGTTTAGTTATAATGGAAATGAAAAGTTATGCATAATGCATGTGAACAGCCAGACATAGCAATGCTCACTTTCATGGCTTTGTATTCATTGCGAATTTGTGATACATACAATTTTTCTCCAACATCTGCTTCTAACTTTACATGCGCCAATTATGAGTCATTATGTACATAGTTTAACAAAAATATTAGCCAGCAGTTGGGTGTCATTAGGTTACTAATCTGACAATATTTTGTCGCGTTAAGATAGCTTTTAAAACCACGATAAGTTAGATGCCATTATGATGTATGTTTGCCTGATCTTAGTTTATTTAGAAGCCATGTACGCATGTACTCTATTTTTCATTTATAGGACAAAATTACTTAAGTTTTATATACCAATTAATCCAAGTAATTCATATCTTAAACCTACTTTCATTTTTTCAATTCTACTCTTATTCAACCTATAAGAAAATAAGATTACAACAACTAACTTGGTATTTAACACTGGCAAACCAAAAAAAAAAATGGTATTTACCACAAAATACAAACTGCTATAAATATATGAATACATATTTACAATCTATAATAAACCATATTATTCATAATCAATAACTAATATAACTCATTTCTCAAATTGTATGCAACTCAAAAAATATGTATCGGTTCACAAGAACAATGTGCAACTTAGGGTTGCCTTCCATGAAAAATGCAAATCATAACACTCCATAGTGTCATACCAATAACATGACATGCAGGAACAAATAATTCACATGAACGAAAGCCCTGAACATTCTGACAGGAGGACCTCCATGTGGGCAAAACAACCGTAAATGATCTTTATATACATGTATATGATAATCTAATGACTTGAATCAAACTATGGAATGAAATTTTGATGGTTAAATCTGTATGATGCAGACCTGGCTTTTCAGGTGAATTCTCACCTCTACAGTGCCCCTTTGATTTAATACAGTAGTTGCATTGGATCCTTCAAACTGAACACAATGCATTAAACGTTCCCTCAACAAAATATTTCCAACTTATGATACTGTTGCATTGTCTTCTAGCATCACACCAAGAACATTCATGCAATCACAATTAGCACAAGGCATGCCCTCTCAAGTAAGCATGAATGAAGAAGCCAAAACACTACGTCAAGTGGTTATTCACTCCCAGGAAGATGCAAAAATATTTGAGCTCCAGCTTTCTTGATGAGGAAGAGGTCCAAACAATAGCCAATAAACGAGCATAAACAGTGAGGATAGGGCCCCAACTCTTACCGTACAATTCCATTGTTGTATTCCTGATGGCATGTATTTAAGACCTTACGTTGAGTTTCTATAGGAAGTTCATTCAAAAAATCCAAGACATCTAATTCATGCTTCCTCTTTAGTTCATCAAATTCTTGTCGTTGCTTTAGCAATAATTGTTCAAATTTTGCAGCAATTATGTTGACATTTTCTAATTCATCATCTTTCAATTCTATCGGTTTTTCTACCAAAGGAGACTCTCCATCGGTTAACTGTAAATCCCCAGATGCAATGCTTCTCTTACTGGAATGGGAATCAGTAGTCCCACTAGATTTCTTTTCTACACTATTATCACCATCACAACTGCAGTTGCCATCCTGCTGCTCGGTTGAAGTCCCTGCATATGCAGTTGAGGTTCCTGCAGTGTTTGAATCCGCTTGGCTAGACAATTTTGAAGCACCAGGCCCCAGTGGAGAGTTTCTACCTGTCTTAGGTGAGTCAGACCAGTAGTTACGACCTGAACGTAATCGTTCAAATGAAAGACCACCAGTAGAAGCTATAGAATTATTTCCATGTGGAGAAGCCTCATCCTTAGTTTCAGAGGCATGGCCACCTGGAACTGCTAATTCCTGACCAGTGCTATCAGCAGTAGGAGTTTCATTAGGATTCCAGTCTGGAATGAGATAGCGAATTTCCGTGTCAATCATCTCAGCAATATTTGTAACATCTTGATCCGTGAGTTCCAACTCCTCAACCATTTCACTAGCAACGGCAATCGCAGTGTCTGCTTCAACATCAAAAGGGAAGTGGATGTTGCGAATATGACCTAAACCCATGAACAAATTTGAGTTCAGATCTAGTTAGTGAATAGACACTCTTTTTAATATTAGAAGAGGGAAGGAGATAACCTGAGGAGTCAGCTATTCTCAGCTTTAAAAATATAGTATTGACATCTCTTCTTTGACCTTCTACTCTGAATTCCCTACCTATCTCAGCAGAAGTTTCTTCGAGATGTTTACCAATAACATGTTGATCACTATGTCCTGTATTTGGTGCATTAGAAGATCAAAAGATATGACACATTAGAGAAACTAGAGAAAACAGGTACTTACCTAAATCATGGGCTCTGGACTTTAAAGAACGACCTACACTGTCACTTTCATCATCTGGAAGAAGAAAGGAATCCATTAAGAGTTCCTTTGCAGGCAACCGCTCCGAAACATTTGCAATACACTTTTCTATAAATGCTTTAACTTGAGGGTCTTTCACTTTTGCCAATGATGCCGGCTTGATTCCCTAAAAATAATTGTCATGATTCTAACCAATCAAAACTTTAGAAGTAACATTTTCTGAATAGATTCTCACTGTAGTAATATAATATTTAGCACATTACACCAGTAATAAGGTCCCTATATTTTTTTCCCCCTAAAAATGCACAATTATATTCAAATGTTTCCCAACATTTTAATTTTTGTGACATTCCTTAAACTTACAACGGGCTTTTCGGTAACTACCATAACCCAAAAAAAAAAAAAGAGTAATCCGACCACTTGTAGAGTCTAGTTATTAAACTCCACATCATATTTCAGGGAATTTCAAGCACAAATTAATTTTCCCCTCCTTTTCTACAGCATCCATTAAGGACTGAAATATGAACTGAAGCTTTTATTTTTTATTTTTTAGAAGTTTTTATAGCTTAGACCATGGAAGTTGTGAAACTCCACGTGACAACAAATCAACAAAAAAGGATCTGCAAATCTAGCAAATGAATTGTATACTGATTTGGTAAAAAGATCAAAATCATGAAAAGAATACAGTTTTGTTTCTTAACAAGAGTTGTCCTCTAACTCAAATACTCTTATGATTTAAGTAGAAACACTACATGTATCCAAATGATTTAGCATACATCACACATATTCTTTGAAGATCAACATATGTTAAGCACTTACAGATATCACTTTCTTATATATTTGAGCAGCATTAGCACATTCAACATATGGATACTCGACAGTCACCAACTCCAGCAAACACATGCCAAAAGCATAGATGTCAACAAGTTCATTGTATTCCTCTTCATAAAGTTCAGGAGCCATAAACTCCGGAGTACCTAATTGCAATTAAAAACAATCTTATTCTTAACATGGTTCCAGCAGTTAGTCCAATCCAGAAACAGACACAGATGGGATGATTTCACCCAAAAAAAAAAAAAACAGGTTACCTATAACACTGTGAGCTGAATTGGCTTGTTGAAGTATGGCAGCCAATCCCAAGTCACCAATTTTAACCTCACCATGATTTCCATTGACAAAAATATTGTCACACTTTAAATCTCGATGAATAACTGGTGGATCATGACTGTGAAGATAAGAAAGGCCCTCCAAAATCTGTCTAGACCATTTCTTCAACGCTCTCAAGTCAACATGCTTATGTTTCTGCCGATATCTAAATCAAAACAGTTAAACATAACACGATGGTCTATCTTGAAACAATAAAAACCACAACATATGAACCCAAAGCCACAGATAAACTCACTGGCGTAAGGTTCCAGAAGTGAAAATTTCAGTGATGAAATTGATGTTCTCATTCTTTGTATCAACCCATGAATTGTAAAACTTGATTATATTCTTGTGCTTCAACGTCTTCAGCAAATGCACTTCTGAATATAGGCGCTCCAAATCTTCATTGTTACGCAACAGATCTGCCACCTTAACCTGATTCCAAGCCACTTCAATTCCTTCCAACTCATCAAATGCTCTGTATCTATATTTTCACATAAAGTTAAGAACATTCAAATGGTCCACAAAGTGTTTAGTGTCACATGAATCGACGTTAGTCATTCAGCTGCTATCGTTCACTATGTGTTCTATTCAGCATAGAAAACTAAGAAAAAAGGATACACCTTCTTGAAAGCCCCCTGCCCCAAAACCTCCTTGTACTGTGAATACGAACCATCGAATGGAGAGTAAGGCAATAAGTAAAACACATCCGTTAGGTGACCATCCCAATCAACGAATTAGGCACATTACACTCAATCCAAGAAAATAAGTTACCAAATAAAGCAATAATTATATAAAAAAATATAAATTGGAAAACAATACAAAGTCGTCAGTTTTTCATTTACCACTGAAAGGAATCAGCAAACAGAGAATGATAAGTACAAACAATGAAACAAATTTTAAGTATCCATGCAGCCGAGTAATATAACAGGAGTTTTTTTTTGGGGGGGGGGCATTTGACGTCAAATTAGATTTAAAACAAAATTTACCGCAACCCATAATCAAAATCTGAATAAGTTTAATTGAATGAAGGAAAGTAGAATAAAAACCAACCCGACCATATCGACGTGTGGGGTCAATCTCTACGAACTCAGAATCAGCATCATCTTGTTCAGACGAATCCTGCGGCATTGCTGGAATCAAATTCTGAAAAACCCTAGAATTGAATGCCACGGTTCAATCAAAAAGGGAAGAAATATTAAAAAGAAGGGAGATGATGAAAGGGCGATAATATACAGGGGAAGTCAAAAGGCGACGCGTGTTAAGGATAAAGAATTGATAAAACAAATGGGTGGGGCTTCGTTGGGAAAAGCTTTTTTTTTTTTTTTTTTTGACCGGAGGTTGGGAAAAGCATTTACGTGATTATAAATTTGGCAAAAGCCAATCAACCGAACACATACACTCACCTCACTGTTCCAACTAATAACCCTACTTTTTATAAATCTCACTTTAATGCTTCCGGATTCCTTCGATTTCTTTTCAATTTCCGTTGAAAGCTCGTCGCTGCATTGGGGTCTACCTCAACCTGGAGCGGATAACGAAAAAACGCTCGCTTTTTTTGTCGTTTTGCCTCTATTTCACCCGTTTCTTCCTAGGTTTATCCCCAGTCCATCCTCCAGCCGCCAGTAGCCACCCATTTGAGATCAGAGTTTTATTCGGTTTGCTTTATTTTGAGTGTTTTATAAATTTGTTTCTCTGTAACACGGTTTTTTTATAACATTTTTTTTTAATTTAACGGCAAAGAAGACCAAAACCAAATTTGCTTTTTATTCGCATTTAATTAATTTTAAAAATTGATTGATTGATTTAACCGTTACATATGTTTAATTTTAGGTATGATCGGATCGGCTCTTTTTTCTTGGCAGACATATGATGGTTAACCTAAGTAACATAGTATTTAATCATGATTAGGCTGATAAGCAGCATCTACAAAATTATTATTAAGCTTCATTGTTTTTGGTTATTAATTTTTTTGGTAAAGAAACATTTATGGGAAACTTCAAAAAAATAAAAATAAAAATGTGGTGATTGATTTAGAGAGAAAAGGGAAAAACTGGGGGGAAATATCCATGAAAAATTTTATTGGTAAGAAAGATTCAAATTAAAATATCGGTATTTTACGTGTACAAAATTTACAAGATATCGATGTTTTTCTTGTGTATAAAGATTTATCAAGTTATTTTTATCAATAAAATATTCGCGGGATAATTTCTTTTAGAATTTTTCAAGAAAGAAAGAAAGAAAGGTGATTTGGAAGGTCGGAGGTATTGGCTTGGCGTGGAATATATGGAAGAAAACGAAGAGACAAACAAAAGGGCAAGGTGGAGTCAAAAACAAAGGCGGAGGAAGATTAGTGATTGAAAGGTAGATAGGCAAGGGCACCCGTTGGCTTTGGTTTGCTGATTCCAACGAGGGATCAGTCTAAAACCAGAGGGCCAAACCTGACAGTCATACTCATGAGAGGCGTTTGTATTGTTCCCCTTAATTCTCATCCTAACCCCAACACACTACCTTTGGCTTTTTCTCTTAGAGAATCTCATTTTAAAATTATTTATAAACACCTTTTATATAAATTGAAATAAAACTTTTTTCACGTACATATCTCGAATTTCACAAATTATAATTAAAAAATACTCCTCCGGTCTTTATTATAAGACCCCATTTGACTTTTTATTTGGTCCTAATTATAAGACCCCAATCCATTTTGTCTCTTATATTTATGCATTTTTTTCCAAGATAATCCTTCTAATAATGATAGTTTTAGCCAATATACTTAATTAGCAAAGATATTTTAGGAATGACAACACTTATTTATTATAAATAACCAATTTAACTTACTTCCTTAATCTCCTCAAATAAGTCAATTGGGTCTTATAATTAGGACCGGAGGAGTAGTTTATAATACCGAATTGATTATAAACCTTTGTTCGCCAAATGAAATTTTCAAAAGGCAGATGTTGATGTTTGGAAGTTTGACAAACCTTGGTTTTTTCAATGTCGTTGACTCTTTAGATTTAATTCTCTCAACTTAAGCAGAAATAGAATTGCATGTGCGTTGATTTTATGTTGGACATCATCTAATCACTTGCTTCCGCCAAAATGATGATGCACCCCGAAAATAATATATCTGACTTATAAATTGATATATAAGCTAATGTTATATAATAAGTATTTAGGAATATCATATTATATTTATTACAATTAACCAATTTATTTTGTCTTTTTAACTTATTTAAATTAATTCAATAACTCTCATGTTAAAAATTAGAAGGACTATAAATGCTTATAGAGGTATGTGTAGGATTATATTATATAAAAAAATAGCGTGATTTGGCCTAGCATTAAGATAAAAAGTACTCCTTCGATCCTTAATATAAGACTCAATTGTTGAGTTGGTTTTGGTCCTAAATATAAGACATATTCATCATATTTATTATTTTTCTCTAAACTACCCCTATGGATACTCCCTCAATCATAATCAAGTAGAAGAGGAAGAGAAGTATTAAGAAAGATGATTATGGTATTTTAGAAAAAACATGTAACATTTCTTATAATTAACTAACTTACCTAACTTCTTTAATCTAATCAAATTAGTTAAATAGGTCTTATATTAAGGACCGAAAGAGTAAATACAAAATGAGGTACATTTTGTAATTTTCTCTGTTCTTTCTTTTTTTTCCCCTCTCTTCAGATTTTTAAGACAAAATTTGCAGCAGTAGAAACCGAGCATATGCCTTCTTGACAGACCATCCAAGTATCGACCAGGAATGTTTCCTTTTAAGTTGGCCCAAAAAAAAAAAACCAACAACAAGAAGAAGAATGTTTCCTTAAACGAAGGAATATACCACGATTAAGAATTTATATTTTTAATTTGCTCAAAAAAAAAAGAATTTGTATTTTTAAGTTGAAATGAAAGAAATCCAAAATTAAGATAGTATTAGTATTGTAGTCACGTGTTTGGATAATATTTTATCATTAGGAGTATTTATACCGAGTTTAATTATATTATTAGAGTTTGGATGGATTAAGATATGTAGAGAATATTTATATAAGATTAAAATATCTATTAGGATTTATGCTGCCTCCAGTTTGTAGTTCAATTTAACTTACCAATAAACCTTATATTAAGAATAGAAGCAATATTTATGCTTGTAATTAAAGAAATCGTGTATGGTTGGCAAAAAAAATAAAAATAAAGAAATCGTGTGTGATTTGATTTGTGATTCAACAAGAAGACTGAAATTATTCATATTACGTTTTTTCACTCTCTATATCCCTTCTCTTTATTTCACTTTCCCATCCACATTTCGTAACATCGTATTTGGCATCACGTTCTATCATGTCATATTAAAGCAAAGAGAGGTCCTCAAATTGATAAGGACTAAGGTGGATTAGTATTTCTAAATATTTTTCGTGTATATCTAATATCTTAAAATATTTTATAATACATCTAATATTTTAAAGTATCTTTTTTGATATATTTAGCACATAAAAATATTATTTTAAGATACGTCTAGCATTGTAAAGTATTTTTTGGTGCACCCAAAATGTCAAAATATTTTTTTAGGTGTTATTTTTGGGTGCATTCAATACCAAGACAAAAAAAAAAATTCAAGGTGCTGGACACACATAAAATATATTTTAAGGTACTGAATGCATCACAAAACACTTCATAGTCTGGATGCACCTAAGAAAATATTTCGCGGTCCTAGATGTATTTTAACCCAATTGATAATTCTCCCTCAGCTGCTTTTTATAATAACTCCATAATTGAGTTACATCGCTCCTTTTTATAAGATTTGATTTATAGTCGTCTAAACATTTAACGTGCCTTTATCATTTTTGCTCCTAATTAATTTATATGTTATATTAATTAAAAGGTTTATCACATTCTCCTTCATACTTTCTCTCTCTTATTTGTTCCTTATAAATAAGGGCATACTTGAAAAAATTTAATTTCTTCCGTATTTATTACTTTTAACTAATTTTAATAATTTTCTAAAACAGCATAATTTAGTTATTAAACTCTTATAAAAAAGATACGAGGGAGTATTACCCTCTCAAGATATGTTCTTATAAATATTTCTCAAGCTATTAGGAAACTATAATGTTTGTTTGTGATCACAGTTAGATCTCTAAATGCAATGGGTGTAGAGTCCGAGAACTGGCAAGCCTTGTTCACTACCATCTGCTGGCTACTCTGGAGAAGAAGAAATGAGAGAATACACTCCAACACTAAGATGGAAGTAGGATCCATATACCCAAGAGCTTCAGCAATAATAAGCTGCATAAAAATGACTCCTAAGAAACTAACCAACATGCAAACGCATCCGAATGATTGCCCCGGAGGTGACCACACCCGTGTGAATACCAGACAGATGGTTCAGGTTGACGGAGCTTTTTCTTTCTTAACCCAAACAGCAGGATGCGGAGGAATCTTAAAAGACACAGAGGGTAAAATCGTGGAAGGATTCTACCACAGACTTGACAAAGGGGACGCCTTCACTGCTGAAGTATGGGCTTGCCTCTTGGGTCTCCGAAGAGCATGGGACCTGGGATTCAGAGACCTTATCCTTATGAGTGACTCCACAAATGCACTCCATGCGATTGAGACAGAGCCAACTGATACACACGAAGACTGGAACGTGATTATGGAGATAAAGGGTATGCTGCAACGATAATGGAAGGTGGAACTAAGGCGAATAAACCGAGTGGATAACGCTCAAGCGGACCGCCTCGCCAAGAAAGCCCTTACGAACAGCATCGGTCTACAAGTTGTCAGTGCCGAGAATCTAGCTGGGTGCATGAGTGACTAAAGTTTCTTTTCTTTTCTCTTTCCGATGTATCAAAAAAAAAAGATCTCTAAATGCAGTTACTCATGCAATTCAAGATAAAAATTTTTTCCCACATTTATATCATATTCTGTAAATCATGATTGAAAAGATGTTTTTGAAAAAATCTAATACAATTCCAAATAAACCCATAATTGATAGTGTAATTCATATAAACAGAGATTTTTTTTAACCGAAAATATAAACAGAGATTGATTACGTCTTTTTATTTCTTTCATATTTATCATCCCCTCCTTTTTAAGAGATCCCCGATTTATACATAATTGGTGTAACACCTCAATAATATATTAAATAACTCAAATAAATTATTTAACCTAAATTTAATTGGTAGAAACATACTATATATCTAAATAACAAATTTTTCAACTAAAATTTTAATTTAAAATTCTCAAAACAGTCATTGAGTAAATATAAACCGATTAAAATTTTTTAATAATGTATCTTTAAATTTCTACGGTCATATATTGTCAAAACTTTATATTTATTCTATACCAAAATGGTAAAATTTTCTAAACATTATAATGGTGCTAATAATATAAATCTCTAAATATATAAGAAATACTCATAAAAAAATTTGATAAAAAGAAATATATTTATGTACCTAAATGATCCTTAAATCTTTTCTTATCTTTTAGACAGCATGTACTCCTACTCCCTCTCGCTCTCTCTCTTTCTTTCCCATGCTCTCTTACTCTGACTAAATAACCTGAATGATACTCCCTCCGTTCCTTATTATAAGAGACATTTGATGCTTATAGCATGTTCCTAAATATAAGAGACACTTAAAAGTTGTCTCTACTTTTTTGTATTGATTTCCTATTTTACCCATATTTATTGTCTCCAACTCACACTCTCTCTCCTTCCCACTTCTCTTTCTTTTAAGAATTTACTATTGTTCTCTTTCATGCTGATAAATCCTGATTTTATATTGATTTTTGATATCTTATTTGGGATTTTTATCAATTAAATTGGGCTTAATTGCATTTATTAGGAATAAATTGGATTAATTGTGATTGGATGAAAATATTGCTAAAAGGGGGCAAAAATATCATATTTTTATGATTTAGTTTAACTGATTGATCTTTTTGAAAAAAATATCATATCACATTATCTTAGATTTTGTTATAGAAAATTTGAGAGATATTGCAAGGTTTGAATTTAGGGTTGCACCATCATGGCCTTCTGGAGGGAGAAAAGGACGGAACATAGCGGCAAGGCTTGAGAATATACACCTTCGTGTGTGTATATATAGATATGACCGCAGGGAGAGAAGAGGAGGCCACACCCATCCACAATTATCATCATCTCACACACCCATCCAATCTTCATTCACCCACCTTCAAACCCACGGATTTCATTCACGCACGCCACCTCCAATCTTCCATTCACGCGCACGACCCACAATCATCATCATCCTAATCCACCACCCCAACCCATATACGCACACCTGATCACCTTCCCTTGTCCTCATCGTCTTCAACGCGGAAAGAGGAGCTGGAGGCAGACACGCTGAGACAGAGAGAGACGGAGACAGAATTGAGATAGTGAATTGCAGAGCTTAAGCATCGTCGATCTCCACTCCTTCCTATCACCAATTACATATAATCATCCCCATCGATCACCTTCATTATCAGCGCCAACCTCCTCTGCATTCACCCATGGCTGCCGTGAGCATGAAATCTGTGGTTGCAAAATTTGAAACCATGCGTGGCTAATTTCATCGAGCTTCTTGGAAATGGAGTATTGGGTTTGAGCTTCAGAGTTAATTAGGGGAGTTTTTCTGTTTCAATTCTTTTAATTTAATTGAGTAATGGATTTTCTGAGTTAGAATTGATATTATTTAATTAAATTTTCTGAGATTATTAGTTGTAATTCTTAGTTTAGAATTGAATTTTTGTGATTGAGATTGGATTTTGCAATTTGAGATTTATATTTATATCCAGTTTGGAGTTCTATATGGTTATGCTATTCTTTCATAGTTTGGATGAATGTTATAATTGTATGGTACTTATTGAATATCTCAAGTTGAGTGTTCTTTACAAAGAGACCCGAATTGCATTAATCTAATCCTAATTGCACACTAATCGGTTTTCAAAGGTAATTTTAATTGGTAGTTGTAGCTAGAGTCTTAGGACATCTATTAATTGAAATTGCTTGACTTAATCAGTGATTAAGGTTTTGATTTTAAATTAGTGAACAAAATAACTCCCAAATCATTTTGAGCAAGGATAACCCAATTTCCATTTTCCAAGAAGCATTATCTCATATCTCCTTAAAATCCAAAATTTTCATTTGCTACTTTTCTTTTAATTAATTTTCTTTCAATTTCAATTTCAAATTATCTTTTCAATTTTTATATTAAAAAAATCCAAAAAAAAATATTTAGAATTGTTTTCAATTTATTTTACAAAGTAGTTTTTAAATTTAAAAAAACAAAAAAAAAAACCCTTTTTAATAGCAATTTTGATTTTTAGTTAATTTAGGACCTAGTTAATTTTTGGCTCCAATAAGAGAACGACTTTGGTTTGCATCACTTGCTGCATTCTAAATTTAATTTAATTTGACCCAAGGCGACATTGAGGATCACATGCTCTCTCTCCTTATTAATGAGGGCATTTTTGAAAAAAAAATTATACTTTTTACACATTAATTGTTCTTAACTAATTTTAACTGTTTTTTTGATCAACGTAATTCGGTTATTCGTCTCTTATAATAAGGAACGGAGGGAGTAATATGTAATACCCTCACATTTAATTTTCCACCGCCCTTCTCCTGTTTTTCACTTCCATCCGTATCTTCTTTTTTTTCTTTTTCTTCCATCATTTACTACTACTCCTTTCCCGAATTCTCTTTTCATTTATTACATTCCAATTTTTTTCAACTCTATTTACTACTCCTCTCCAACATTTTTCTTTCATTTAATACACTCTTCAAAATTCTTCTCTTAGTCAATTTCCCCCAACTTTTCACCAATTTCGGTGAAAAGTTGTCTTGTTTTTTTTTTAATAACTTAATAATAATAAATTATTATTTTATTTAATTTAATAATTATTATATATATATTTTGTATGTTACAATTGGGATTTGAATTGATAGCCCAGATACACAAGTAAAGACTTAATGCCAAATTTCTACTAATGTAACTCAATTCTACATTTAATATAATAGCTGAATAATTAAATTATGAATGTTAAAAAAATTATTTAAATTAGTTGTATATAATAAATAGATATTGTTTTTCTTAAAATATCCTTACTAATTACGTGTATTAGTTAAAACTATCATTTATGAAATATTTAGTATGTACAACTATTATAAGGATTATTTAAGAACAAAATGAATAAATAAGAGAGATAAAATAGATTGAATCTTATATTTAAGATCAAATTGAATATTAAATTGGCTCCTATATTAAGATTCAAATATAGTATTAAACACGTGTACTCCCTCTAATCTCGATAGACTTAGAGTATAACATACTTTTTTTAATTCTAAATATATGAGTTAATTAAGAATTTTATTTAGTATTAAATATAAAGCCTCGATCTATACTTTAAAATAAATAATTTATAATTCTTTGTGAGGAGAATTCACAAAATGTGAAAATTGTGAAATTCCAAATTAGATATTTTATAAAAAAAATTATTGTCATTCGCCATTCAATTGTTATCAAAACTTGTACAAATATTGTAATAGGTCCTATTTTACGATTTTGTAATTTTTATAGTTTTTTTGTTATTTTTTCTGTTTATATTAACTCTATTGATTAGCAATCTCAATCATCCATCAGAAAGGTTAGTTTTGACTGTTAATTTGACTTATATGGTACAATCAGCGGCCAGCACAGCCACATCACTACCTAAATCACTTCCTCCCTCTCCCTTCCTCACCATTAGCTAGATCTGCCTTCTTTTCCGGCCGCTTCCACCACCATCCTCCTTGTATCTTCCCTTGATGCTCCCCCTCTCTTTTCTCCTCAAATGAAAAGAGAACCCATCATTGCATATCTGACTTCTCATGGTTGGTTGCATTAAATGTTCGAACCTCATCGAGCATCAAAGGTTTGCTCCCCCTTCCTTCCCTCTCGTCTTCCTACTCCTTCCCCTTCCCCCGACGTCTTCTTCCATGTCCATGAAGATGAAGGGGGAGCCTTTTTTTTTTTTTTTTTCAATTGTTAAATGCTAAATGGAAAATGAAATATTGAGTTGGGTTCGATTAAGCAATTGCTCCGTCGCCCCGATCACTGCTCAGCTCTACCCTTCGCTATTATCAAGACATTCAGCAAATACATTTGAATCAGGGAGAGAGGAGATGGTTTGGGACCTTCATCATCGAAAGCGGGAGAAGAGTTGCAAAGGGGAGTTCGATTATGACTGAATGATTGTTTAGTGGTATTGGTTCTATGGAAGTCATTTTCTCAACTCACAAGAAGATGGAGATGGAGTCGAGGACTATGGTTTGCTAGTGCAAAATCTTGGCTTGGTGTTCTGCATTTTATCTCCTTGCTAGTGTTTGTGTTTTTGGCTGAGAGAATATAAGGGAGTCGCTGGTTCTGGTTTAGCCAAATATATAGAGAAAGATGATGAAGTTGTTTCCATTTTTGCATAATGTAAAAGGCGATGCATTGAATATGGAGAAGAGAGAAGGTGTTGATGGTGAGGAAAGGTAGAGAAAGGCAATCAAATTAGTGGAGTTAGATGAGAGGCCGTAGGTGAGGCTAAGGAGAGATGAAGGAAGATGATGACGACAAAAGAGACCGGCTGGAGAAAGAAGGAGATAATGAGGTGGAGGGTGACATGGAACAAAGGAAGGAATAGATGATGAGATGGCATGCCACATAAGCACACAATTTGGTTAAAATTAATTGGGTAACGGTCAGGGCAACATTACTACTTTTTTTACACTTTCGGATGATATTGCTCCTAAAAAAACTTCTGAATATCTATAGCTTTTGATGGACACTGTCTACTTATAGGACAAATTTACATCTTATCTCTAAGAAAAATTAAAGGTCTTTTTGAAAACAATGCATGTTTTTATAAATAATTAATGCAACCAACTCTCCTAATCTTTATAAATTAATTATATAACTTTATCGTAGGAATTCGGCCTTGCGTCCTTACCAAAATTTATACTACCTTGAATCCTTAATATAAGAGCTAATTAATTAATTTGAGTATATTAAAAAAATTTGTTGAATTAGTTTGCTAATCAAGTGTCATATTGATTAAATATTTAATATGTGTAACTACCACAAAAATTATCTAAATAAATAAATAAATATAAAAAATAATATAAATTAAAATTTTATATTTAGAATCAAATTAAAAGTAAAATTAATTTTTAATGCAATAATCAGAGATAGTGCTTTTTAATGCACAAAAGGCTGGAGGGCACAAAGGGAAGGACCCGCTACCCGACAAATGTCCCAATACAAAAAGTGGGCCATGCAAGTCTAACTCGATTTTTTGTTGGAGACCAGGCTGGACAACCAAATTTGCATTACGGCCCATAAACGTCTGTCTTCTTTACCCATTTTGTGGGCCTGCTTGTCTCTTAACTTTATTTTGCCAATATTTTGTAAGCCCCATGCACGTAATTGTCAAATCCAAAAAACAATATTTCTTGAATTCTAAAATTTATAATCAGTAATTACTTGAAAATGTGTTGTGATTTGTTTTTCAAGTATAATCAGTTGTTATTATAATATAGTGAACAAGGCTGATTTGAAATTTAATATTCTGGAAATCTTTTTTTTTTTTGGGATTTTACCTAGTAAAAACCCATACATTTTATTTTGTAGTTTTTTTTAAATCTCTTGATATTTCGTTCCATCTCTTTTGATCACGTTGATTGCTTTAAAGACACACTAAAGTGAATGCAATTGCAGTCATGGACCACGCCTGCGTTGAATTTTCCCATTTTGAGCCACCACAGAAAATGGCAGATGGATGCCATCCTAATTTTAAAAGATAAGGTTGGAGTGCTCGCTTTCATTTTTTTCATAACCTTTTGGATTAGTACTTAGTATCCCATGTTTTTTTTTTTTTAAATCTTATCATCAAATATTTAAGCAGTTAAGGTTTTGCAACTCGAATGCCTCTTCTCAATGGTCTTTTTGTTTTGTACAACCAAATGTTGTTTTTAATAAGTCAGGAATCAAACGTAACTATACTCGTTTCGTAATATACTTCCTCCGTGTCTTTTTACAAGCAATAACTATCATTTTCCTCTTGTCTCTAAATATAAGCAATATTTGTAAGTTGTTTTAAATTTTTGTAGTAGATTTCTTATTTTATCCCCATTAATTACTTATTTTAATACTCAATATATTTATTATCTCATTTTCCAAACTATCATCTCTCTCTATTACACATTATTTCTATTTCATAATTCTCTTTATTATAATAATTTTCTTACTATCTTTTTTATACTCTTTCCCTCAATAAATAAGAATATCTTGGAAAAAAAATTCCTAATTTTTACCTATTTATTATTTTTAGCTAATTTTTTAATCTACATAATCGAGTCTAAAATTGCTTATAAAAAAAAACAGAGAGTAGTTGGTTGATCACAACTAAACCAAGCACCCATGAGCTAAGCCAATTACCCTTGATCTGTGGTCACCTTTCATTGCCTGAGCTGTTTAAATTCAAATTGGTTCATTCATCTTTAATTTTATTTATTATATTTTTGTTTAAATATATGAATAATATAAATAAAACGATAAATTTTCTGTCATTTTATTTCATTTTTTAAATAAGTTGAAGCTGTTGCTTAAGAAAATAAATAGAAAAATTTTAAAATCTAAAACGTCCAGATCTTATTTCAAAGATTTATACTCATGTCATCATCTAAAAACTGTTTTGCATATTCATTACTTGTTCATCTATAATAATAGTAGTAGTAATTTATCTATAATAACAGTGTCTCGAACAGGATTACTTCTAATAAAACGATACATGTGCTTACTAATAATAATAATACTAATAATTATAATATACACAGCTATATCACCCTATCATAAGGGAAAAAAACAATAATTTATGCAGCTAAATCACCGGTTTGTTTAGCCATTTCCTTTTTGATTGAAGCGAAGACCAACAAAGCCTCATTTGTCCTGAAGCAACCAGATCTGTCCCTGCAAAGATTGATTCCTCATGCTTTTCTGCAGCTAGCCAGCCACCCACTTCTTAGATTCCTCTTCCACGCTTACAACTAAATGTTGAAAAACATTAAAATTAGTGAAAACGTGTCAAGACCAGAGAAATATGAGATATATCGTCTAAACAGTCTTAAACAGCTCAGGATTCCTCACACCTAACTGAACTACAATTCGTTTCCTTATATTTTGAAATGAAATTATCAGAATCCCATTTCATGTGCTGTCAAGAATCCTGATAATCCGGTGAAAAATGGCTTCTTCCTTCTTGTAACTATGCCTGGAAGTATAAGTAACTTGGGAGTTAGCAGAACCAAAGTCACTTAGGATTAAGAAAAATGTTTGCGGGTTTGGAACTCGAGAAGTTAAATTCTAACCAAAATTAAAAATACATATATTGATGCAGGTGACAGGTAAGAGAGATTTGACACAATGTGCAGATTATAATATAATATGGGCTGCTTCTTCACTCTCTGCCAATCCATATGCCAGTTTGGAAACTATATTTTTCTTTTTAATTCTAATAAATCCTTCCAAGATCACCTCTGGCAACATCTAGCCTTCATCCAGCTTGTGACTTGGATCTCTCTCACCCCCCCCCTCTCTCTCTCTCTCACACACATAAGATTTCTTTCTCCCAGTCCATATATTTTCCCCTCATTTTCAATTTCTGGCCTGTACTGCTCTAATCAACTTCAGATTGACCCATCATCATCAACAACAATGCAAGACTCCATTGGTATTCCGGCTTGCTTTTCTTCTGCAGATAAGTTCACTGATGATCCCGGGGCGGTCACCCGATCGGGCCAGAGGGTTTACATGTCATTATATAGAACAAAGATGGCTGATCAGTGCCGTTTGATCACCGTCACATGGTGCAAAAACTCAATGCTTCATGGCCTATCAGTATCAGTGGGAGGCCTGGAAGGAGAAACATCATATACCTGTAAGGTTGAGCTAAAGCCATGGTACTTCTGGAGAAAGCAAGGCACCAAGCGGTTCATGCTAGATGGTAAACCTGTAGATATCTTCTGGGACCTCAAAGCTGCGAAATTTCATGGAGAAACAGAACCGACCTCGGAATACTATGTAGCAGTGGTTTGTGATGAAGAGATAGTTCTGCTCCTGGGTGATCTTAAGAAAGATGCCTACAGAAAGACAGGTTGCAGGCCAGCTCTTATTGACCCTATTTTGGTTTCAAAGAAGGAACACATATTTGGGAAGAAGAAGTTCACCACTAGAGCTAAATTCCATGACAAAGGTAGGAAACATGAGATCTCAATAGAGTGCAAGAACAAGGGAAGCATTCAGATCAACAACAATGGCGATTCCTTAAACGGGGTTGAGCCAGAAATGGAGATAAGGATCGATGGGCATTTGGTGATTCATGTGAAGCATTTGCAGTGGAAATTCAGAGGCAACGAATCAATTCATCTCAGCAAAATGAGAATAGAGGTATACTGGGATGTTCATGATTGGCTCTTTAGTCCAGGATTAAAGCATGCTTTATTCATATTTAAGCCAATTATGTCATCATCACTGTCATCATCATCTTCTTCATCAACTCCATTATCATCTCAGACAGAGAGTTTTGGGTCACTGGAAACTCTTGGCGTTAATGGGTCATCAGAGTTTTGCTTGTTTCTCTATGCCTGGAAGGTTGAGTAATTTTATCATCAACCTGAAGCTCCATCATCATCACCACCATCACTGATCAACCCCAGCAAGAAATAGAATAGAAAAGGACATATGGGCCTGCAAGTGATGGAGCGACATGGAGTGGGCAAGATAGGGACTAGTTAGAGAGAGAAGGCACTGACAATGCTAGTGGGCCCAAACAGAAGGTTTCGGGAGTTAATTACAGCTGTAGTTGAAAGATTGGGCATAATTGGACAAGACAGATTGGATCACACACACATATACACATGCTCTGTTTGTCTCCATCCACCACATGGACATTCACCGTCCTCCTCCTTGATCTGATCTTGAAAGGAGAGCTATGTATTCTTTCAAAATCCATGAACCAAAGGAATATGTAATCTATATATTTTCTTTATATACAGGAATATAATTCACAATAGATTACTACTACTAGGACTGCATGAATGTCTGTATTTTGCTCATAAAATAGCGTCTCGGAAAGAGAGGAGGGGTTTCGATGAATGGTGGTAGAAAGAACTACGAGACATTTAAGCTCTAAAATCCATGCAAAAAGAGAGTGATTGTTTATTTACTTATCATTTTATTGGATATTCTCCAATAACATCAGCAAATTATTTAAATTTATGAGTTGTGAGCCAATAATGCAATATTCAGCAGACGAAGTTGCCAAATACTACTTGATTGCTAATCACTACTTTTCCCAATAAACGTTCCGGTGGGGATCTAGATTGGGTATATTCAAATTTTTTTATTAGTGCATTAGAAGGTTTAAAGTGAAGAATTAATAATTAGACAAATTATATATATATATAGAGAGAGAGAGACCTTAGTGTTCTCTCCCCGATCGCTAATCATCATTCAGTCTTTTATCCATATTTAATTTATAAATTATTAATAATTAATGACACATACGTGTAGGTGAAGAATTGAATCAACGAGTTTGGTAGGTAAAAGACATATTCAAATGTCCACTCACTCCCAAATGGTAATATTTTTTTATTCATTTATATACATGAACGTAGATTCCTTACAGTTTAGTGTTATAATTTTTTAACACAATTAAGAGAGGGATTATCACACACACTGATCGAGACACGCTTTCTTTGACATCACTATCTCTCTAATTTTACAAGAACATGCAACGCAGAATCGGAGAATCTGCACGCAAACACGATCATGCGACAAGGTAGGTCCTTTAAACAAGGGATAGCTATTGGAAATTTTGCATCCATTGAAACGCCAATCATTAACCTCACATGCACCATCAGTTTGAATATAGTATTGCAGGTAACATTTGATGTATTCCACGTGGCTTTAGAGATGAAGAGCAAGTGAACTGCCAAGTTGTTTCTTTCGGAAGCAGTTAAAACAATTTGACCAAAGAAGGATTATTCCCTCTCACAAAACCAACAATAATAGGGTTTCGGTGAATGATTCAAATTCAAAGAATCCAAAGTAAATGGCATTATTATTGATGAGTATGAAAGTAATGAATAATTTGGAGAGAAAAAAATGAAGAAAGAAAGGAACTTTTACACTGATATGTACACGCTTGCCTAGTCGTGTCCATATACCAAGCATCCAAGTAAAAATTCATATATACACTTCTAACTTGATTTCTGTTCTACTATGAAAATTTTGAGTCAATATAAACAAAACGAAGGAGGAAGTCTGCTCATTTTGAACCAAAACCAAACCACCTTGCCAGGAAGAATTTGCTCTTTTCACGGGAAGCTTCCTTCTCTGTGCGTGCTGGTGCAGGGGTAGGTGATTCCACAGGTGGCGAAATAAGTTTGGCTGCAACAAAAAGTCACCAATTTTATATTTAAGACAAAGATATATAGATATGGCGTTTGTCAAACCCAATTAAAACAGAACCGAGTTTTGAACATAAGATGAGATCCAGTCCGCGTACACTGCTGTTACTAACAATCTATGTACGCCTCCATTGCTAACAAAGATAAGCTTAATAGTTATTGACACCTAGCCTATCCAATTATTAATACAAGATGTCTGAAATAAGATGGTAACGTCTACGGAAAGGAGAAAAGAAACTGATATACACCTGGTTGTGGAGAAACCTTGTTAGTTGTGGCACCTCTTGTATCAGTAGAATTCTTTTCTGGATTAGGTATGACCACTTCATGATCGGATACAATGGCCAACTTCTTCTCTCGAACTCTTTGCTCTGTGTTTCCTTCACAATCTTGATCACCTGTAAAAGCACAGGAACTCCGCAAGGAATGATCTGGTAAAGCACAGTAATGTTACCCATCAGCGGTTACGAATGAAAGCAGCCACAAATCAAATCAACATAAAATACATGACCTACAGTAAGTTGCATTATTCATGGGATATGAATGGTATAATTCACTCATCAAACTATATACTATACAAAGAAGTCACCATCCAACTACAAATAATGATACTCTTACTCTCATAATGAAGGGTATGATCCTATGAGGTCCAAGATATATCTCAAAATGCCAATCCAGATAAAGAATAATATTCCAGATCCATGTATATAAAGAAGTCTGGTCACATTGTTACTCTTGAGGCCGAATATTGGGAGTTAGTTATTATTTAGCATGTGTTGCCTTGTATGATATTCTTAGTTTCCTCTAGATCATTAGAACTTTCTCTTCTAGTTAAATCACTATCACTTTTAGCATTCGTGCAACTTATTATACTGGAATCCCCCCTTTCACTAATATTTTTGCCTTTACCACAAATGTAACTATAAATGTAACTGTCGTTGTATTTGTCACTATCACCTTAAATGTAACCATCAATACAGATTTGAGGATGAAGACAACTGTCAATGCAATTATCAACGTGATTAGTTCTAAGAAAATGGAACCCATTCCAAGAAAACATGTCCATAGCAATTCTTCTCACTTCAGTTAACCTATCAAAACCATCATCCAGCCTTTCCCCTGAAAATCTTTAAATTCGACTTGCTAAGACCAATATATACAAATTAGATCATAGTTCTCACCACTGCAGATGTTAGGTTAGCCACAAAAGTTTTTGACATGGTGCTCAGTTAAAGATGCCAGATAATCACTTACTTTCACAAGCCCAGCTCAATATAGATACTTACTTCCATCGGAAGGTTTCCCGTAGTTCTGGTGTAACGCTTCAATAAAAGAACAAGCGTTTTGATCTTGCATCACTGGTAAAAAACCAAAACAAATTGATAGAACAAAACAGATAATTGATGAACTTCCTGCATATAAATTTCAATAAGGAGAACAATGAACCTCACGTTGATCAAATAAAGTAAATCTGTAGTTTGGGGCTGAGCCAACCAGTAACAACTGGACAGCTTCTGAATCTCTTGTCATAGATGATGAAGCTGATGCCTTCAGATTCTGAGTGTCCAGCAGAATGCCAGAAAGCTGCAAATTTACACGTGGGAAGAGACTATTCAGTCTTATAGTACTTAAATATTTCCCAGATCACTTCTTGAAATAGCAAGAGAGATGATTTCATATCACCAAAAAGAACTTAACATTATTTCATCAAATTACCAGAAGGTTCTGCAGCACAGGGTCTCGAAGTAGATCATAGGCATCTTCACAATAATTATCAGTAAGAATGGTACACATAGACCCAACCTAAAGGAACAAAATAAAGATAAAATCATATATAAAACTCAGTACCAAGCTTTATTGCGCATAACTTTGGGGTCGCACTTGTTCTTAAAATTTGATACCTCGCCAGTAGCACTTAGGATATCTTGTCCAACCACATGGATGGTCAGTCGACCAGACACCATACGGTCTTCCAAGTCCACCTGCAAACAAGTTTGCAGAACAAATTAGCAACCAATACAAAGCTCATCTAACCTACTTTTTTTTTTTTTCTGGTGAAACCTACTATTTATTTATACAACATCAACGTACCAAGTAGATAGACAATCATGATTCATGAGGGAGAACTTCAGTTTTTCCCCATAAATCATAATATTAGAAGAATATTTCAATTGAACTTGGCTTTTCAACTTTTATGTGAAGGCAAATAACTTGTAAGGCCATTTATATGCAAGCATTTTGGGATATGGGTACGCTGAAAGGTTGTCAAGTATTGCAAGGACACCCTTGTTCGCCAGTAGAGCATTGGATAAATGCATAATTGATTATCAGACATTGTCAACAATTGAACATGCAAAAAAGAATTACACCTGTCCCATCTAAATTGATTTTTAGTATGAACATAACAAAAATCTCACCTCGTCAGCAAAAAGCAATGAGGTAGCGTCAAGGCCAGCATGGAAAAAGAGCCAAGCAGCCTGCCTTAGCTTCAACATGGAACTTCGCCTCACATTCATAACAGGAACTACCACATTGTCTCCTCCATCATCTTTCTCCCTTTGCCTATACCACAACAGCCAGGCATAACATATGGCAGCCACCATTGATGCTATACCTGCACTACACAAATTGAATTACTAAGCCTTTTTTTCCACATTAATTCATGCAGGTAAAGCATATGTCGTCAAAAAAGATACAAAGACACCCATATGTCACTTGCAACCAACCTTCCAACTTCAGAAATCATAAACTAATTCATTAAACCTTCACATTTCACAGCAATAAAATTGAAACTTTCTGTAGCCTAAACGCCACTTCACACATTCCCCTTAGCACATGTCGTACTCCCATTGATTTAAAATTAGAGATAGGTATTTCAAACATATTTGATAAAACAAGCTTGCACAAGATTGAAATGTCCCACGTTAAGGACTCCAGTAGTATAGAAAGTACCAATATTTTGTAGCAGGGATAACATATATTGACAAGGGGGAGGTGAGACTTAACTGTTAGAAGGCCCAGAGAGCACAATTGTGGTCTTTGCATTGAGCTCCATGTTCATCACTTTCTGAATTAAAATCCGCTGCTCTTCAAGAAAACGATTGAGAGAATGATCTACGGTTATCTCTCCCTTCTTGGACCGTCCATAAGCATCCGTCCCGGGCGCAATTTTCTCCAGCGAACAGGTGGACGACAACAACATTCTCCGGTGAGCCGACTGGACAGGATTTCTGGGGGGAGACAGTGGCAAAGAGTTCGGCGAGGAGAACGTCCGGCCGACGGCAGGTTCGACGACATTCTTGGGCGGTGAGAGAGTAGAAGGCTCCGGCGAAGGCGCGAAAGTCCTAAAGGTCCGGCGGGAAAGGACTTGGTCAGCCTGTGGGGGAGGAACAGAAGGGTCGGTCTGGAATCGAGACTTGCGGTGGAAGGAACGACGAGGCGGGAAAGGGGAGGATGATCTGCTGGGTTCGGGGGCGGAACAAGGGTCTGAAGATATGGTAGGATTGGAGGGTTTGAGGATGTTGGAGAACCACCTGTGGACCGCCGTAGCAGGGGATCCATCATCCTCAAACGAGGAGGAGGGTTTGGTAGTGAATAAC